GGGGCGGGGAGAGCGAGCTGCAGCAGCTGCTCCCCCAACCGCCCCGCAGCTCGCAGAGGTGATGTGCGGCACGCAGCAGCACCGAGAAGACAGCGGCCAGTAGCAGTGCAGCAGTAGCAGCAGCAGCAGCAGCAGCAGCACAGCAGCAGTAGCAGCAGCGGCAAGGTTACCTGTTCAGGAAGGAGAAGCACTCGATGTCCAGCATGTGGACTTCGTCGATAAACAAAACGCCCTAAATCCACACAGAAACACGCACACCGTAAACCCTAAACCCTAAACCCCAAGCTTTAAAACCCCAACCCTCAGCCCTCATTATCTAGCTCAGCAACCCTAGAGTCTAAACCCTCAGCCCTACTAAACCTCAAACCCTAAACCCTAAACCCTAAACCCTAAAGCCAGCGCACAGGTATGATCTCGGCTTTTCCCTCTTCCCTCCACTCGGCAACTTTGGCGTCAATTTGTTCTCGAACTTCTCCTTTTATTTCTCCCGTGTCTCCCGCAAACAAAGCCAGAAAACCCTGCGCCCTGAGCAGCCACAAGCAGCAGCAGCAGCAGCAGCAGCAGCGACAGAGCTAACAGCCCAAGCAGTGCTAGCCACTGCCCCAAGCAGCACCAGCAGCAGCAGCTAATGCGTTACCCTGCAACTATCCAGCTAAGGGGGCCCCCTTAGGGGCCCCTAATGGGGCTACAACCCCCAAAAGGGCTCCGCAGGGGCCCCACAGGGGCCCCCGGGGGGCCCCATGGGGGCCCCATGGGGGCCGCTGGGGGGCCCCACGGGGGCCCCCGTGGGGCTAGTTTGAGGGTATATGTTTACCTGCTGTTGATAACATCAATTTCGTGCAGAGTGACAGTGTGGACAACTTCTTTCCTCTTCTGGAGTTCGCCCTCGGGGCACTGCAGAGGCAAAAAGGCGAAACTAGGGTTTAGGGTTTAGGGTTTAGGGTTTGGGGTTTAGGGTTTGGGGTTTAGGGCGAGGCACAAGGGAAACGGCTGCGTCGATATGCGCCTCCTCGCCACCAGTCCTTACCCGCGCCAGCTAGCCTGCCCCTAGTAGGTCTAGGGTTTCGGGTTTAGGGTTTAGGGTTTAGGGTTTAGGGTTTTGGACCTGGACAAAGCGCGTGGTGGGCCCCACAGCGTCGAAGTCCTTCGCCCGCGCAAACCCTCGACCAATTTTTGAAACTTTGCCGCTGGCCTTGTCAATAGAAATGACATCTCCAGCAGTCACTCCTTCTTTTGTTAACGCGTCTGCAAAAACCCTAAACCCTAAACCCTAAACCCTAAACCCTGTGCCCTACACCCTAGGCCCTAGGCTGGCCTTGTCAATAGAAATGACATCTCCAGCAGTCACTCCTTTTGTTAACGCGTCTGCAAAGACCCTAAACCCTAAACCCTAAACCCTAAACCCTAAACCCTAAACCCTAGGCTCTAGGCCGTAGGCACTTTTAAACCCTGCAGCCCGGCGGCGCACACACGCCGGGCTCTTTGCCTCTTCCTGGTACTAAACACTAAAGAGTGCACTAGCTAGCTAGGCTGGCTAGCTAGCTCGCTGGCTATCTAGCTAGCTAGGCCGGCTAGCTAGCTAAGGGGCTATCTAGCTAGCTAGGCTGGCTAGCTAGCTAACTGGCAAGCTAGCTAGCTAGGCTGGCTATTCAGCCAGCTGTTTGGCCAGCTAGCCGCTTGGCTAGCGAGCTGTTTAGCTAGCCCGCTGGCTAGCTAGCTGTTCAGCTAGCTGGCTAGCTAGCTTTGTAAGCCGGCTACTTAGCTAGCTGTTTAGCTAGCTAGCTATCTGGCTAGCTATATGGCCAGCTCTCTGGGTACGCTGGCCAGTTAGCTAGCTGTTTGGCCAGCTAGCTGGCTACCTAGCTAGCTAGCTGTCTAGCTAGCCAGCTAGCTAGCTAGCTAGCTAGCTAGCTAGCTAGCTGAAGAACAGACCTATAAGCTTGGAGCCCAAGTCGTAGAGGGTTTCCATTTCTGTAGTCTTGAGAGACATGCGGCCAGTCCTTGCTGCTCCGCTGCCGGTGGGCTGGTCAATTTCAATTTCCACCACTTCTGCGCACAAACCCTAAACCCTAAACCCTAAACCCTAAACCCTAAACCCTAAACCCTGATCCCTGGGCACAGAACAAGGGACGGCGGGCTTCTCGCGGGGCGGCGAAAGCCGCCCCCACTGCCGGGCGGGGCTTCTCCGCCCAGAGCCTCCTGCTGAGGGTTTAGGGTTTGGGGTTTAGGGTTTAGGGTTTAGGGTTTAGGGTTTGGCTGGCCTCCTTCGATGATCTCTG